TGGATTCATAGGAACTAATGTGTGTATGTGTATAATGTACTATTCCTAAATTTCTGGCAGAAAAGAATGTTGCTGAAGGCATTGGCATGGTGGTCATCTAAAATCTAAACAAGAGTTTCTGGAAGTCTGAATTTTTTAAAAGGCTGAAAGATGGTGTCATATTTTGGTATGGGCTGTTGACACTCCAGCTCTAATAATCGAAGTCTGTCTGATGTAAATATGTACTGGATTTTGGTCAAGTATGAGTTGGAATTTTACTGCTGGTTCACAGGATAGCTGAAAAATGAAATCAAAGCTAAAATACACGTGACAGAGCCAAAATAAGTGTGTGCATACACAACTGTTAGTAAAGTCTAAATTGTTTTACATTAATGGTGTGAACACAGGGTATGATACCAGCTGGAGTCAGAATGCGACTGCTGTCTAGAAGGAAAAAAATCCTCATATTGAACCTTGTTTTAAATTTTAACTGCATTAAAAATGAATTGCCAAGTGTGAATTGCCAAGTAGAATTAGTACAAATATCAGTAGTACTGTCGAGTATGAAATCAATTCTATTTTAAAAATTCCATGTTAATTTTACAAGAAGATTAAGAAAAGAGGAAACTGAAATTGGAAGGAATTTTTCTGTTTGTGGAGGGAAGGTGATGGGAAGGAGAAATCTTTTAATGTGCACTGTCATCTAAAATAAGTCATAGAAATGAGTTCATAAGTAAAGACTGCTTTTTTTTTCTTCATTTACTATAGATAAGACACCCCTTGGAAAGTCAAATAACTATATTAAGATGATGAAGGATTTTTTCTTTCGCTTGTTATCAGTGTCTTTTTAGTAATCTTAGAACTAAATTTTCAGGATTTGTTCCTTAAAATACACAAGAATGACGTATGTGGTATTTCAATGCGTAATCTTAGAACTAAATTTTCAGGATTTGTTCCTTAAAATACATGAATGATGTATGTGGTATGTCAATGTTAGGACAATGGTATTGACTACACTTGAAACAGCTTAACCTCATGTGCTCAGTAGTCTTATCACCTTCTCAAATTGTATTTGGCTTTCAAGATTAATATCAGGTTTATGACTCTTGAGTCTGTGATCCTGTGTAACTTCTCTTTTCTGCTTTATTACTCTTAATATGGATGTTTCTGCATGTGTGTAGGTTTTTTTTTTAATGATCTTTTTCAGAGTTACAGTATTTGGTTTTGCTCTCACTTGCATGGATGTTACCAAGTGTGTTTTAGAATCCCTGATTTCTTAAGCTCACTTAGGATCATCTCCTTCATATTCCTTGCAACTTCTGTCCCCTTTCCCCCTTTCCACCAGCTCCCTAGTTTGGTGTCATTTGCAGATTCTTCAAGGGGGCCTGTGTTTGGTCACCAAAATTAATAAACTAAACTAAATCTGCTACAGGTCAAGTTCTAGAGACACCGACCCAAAATTCTTTCTGTTTTGGTTTAATTTTTTGTACTCAACCATTGGTTTTCTGAAAATGAATTTTCCAGTAGTTACTGTTCTCTACACTAATTATTTTGGATTTATAGTCTCCAGGTTATGTGGAACAGTAGTTGAACTTACATAATCTGTACCTCCTGCTTCAGTAATACATTTAGCCAAGAGAGAACATTGTATTGTTTTGAGGCTTCCTGATATCAATTATCTTTCTCCCTTAACGTAAATCACTCTTCTTTTCCCCTAGCAATGTACCCTGATCTTTCTAAGCATCAGAACTACATTGTTTGTCTTGCTACTTAAGTAATTTCCCACTTCCCTGGTATTGTTATGAGATGTATACCCTATTTCATATTGCTCTGGGATCCCTATCTTTTACTCAAAGAACTCAGTAATACCTTAGAAATCATTTAGACTAGTTCTTTTATATATTCTAGTGTACGTTATTGTAAGTAGCTGGCTTAAACTATGCATTAATTTTTCTAATTCAAACATCAGTTTGGGTTTTTTTAAGGAGAATTTATTTTGTGTGTTATCTGCTAACTTTCTGACCTCTTCCTTGTGGAGCTTTAGAGTATTGGGTCCCTCATTTTCTAGATCAGATTCTACAATTGGCTGGCAATGGTATGTGCCACCACAGTTTTATTTATCTCTGCAGGCTTTGACAGCCTGGGTAAGATCCAGAATCAATGTGTGGGCTGTCCAAGCCAGCATGCTATTGAAAAGCTGCCATTAAGCAACTCATTCTTAATGAACTGGAGAGCAGTGTTGGTATTTCTCAGAATAAAAGAGATGATGCTTGTCCTTTGTTGTTGTATCGGGAGTGTGATTTGTAGCCCACGCCCCCAGAGACACCTCGCAGAGCTCTTCTGGACTGGTATTTCACTCAGGAAGACTTGGAGGGAATAGCTAATTCTCTGTTGGTATTGCTAATCACCTACTTCTGTGTATGGTGTTTTTCTGCAGTTCTTATTTGGGCAAGACTAGGACTGACTTAAAGGTCTTCTTGTCTTAGTCAGAACAGTATAAAAGAGCACAGAGGAGGTTCTTGGCTTGCAGAGATATAAAGCACTGTACAAACGAATGGCTTTTATGACTATTTTTGTTGTACTATATCTGTCACTTGAGCAGACTTGCTGTAGCTTCAGGAACAAAAAGTGTTGCTAGGTATCTTCTAAATGTACCCTGTAACAGAGGCCTTGGGACTGCCTTGCTGATAAGGTCTCCCCTTGTTCCTGGCTGGAACCACTTAGTGGAGGATGGTGCTTGAAAATGTCTGTTCAAATAACCATAACGCAGCTACATGTGCTGAGAACTGAAGCCATGGAGACCAGAGGTGAGGCAGAAATCTCACTCTTCTCCTATATGGCTGCTGTTTGATGAATTTCTTAGTGAATTACTGATCCAGCTCTGAGCATGCTTTGCTGGTGCTGCCAATTATGTGGCTCTAACAGAACACTCAAAATCTCAGCTCCGAAGTATGGTACTCTGTCTCTTCCTTTATTTAGTTCTATGAAGTAGACTATACTGGTAAATTCAAGACATTAAAGAAGAATGGAAGACAAACAGATGCAAATTCAATCTGGTTTAGTGGTTTTTTCCATGTAGGTTTTGTGATCACTTCTGCTTGACACATGAGCTTCTGTTTAATCTATCATGTCTGGGAAGGCATTTTAAGTGCAAAACAAGTAGAAAATAATTCCAAATGGCTGGAGGACTGACAATGTAGTTCTGCATCAGAGTTTTACATTAGTGTGCCTGTTTTAATTTGAAAGGAAGTTAAAGGATATGTGCTACAAATAAAAATTGCTAGACCTAAATCAACAAAATTCTGTTTCTGATCTTAGGAAAAAAGTTGCATTTTTCAGTGAAGCTTGGTTTTTCTTTTCTATTTGGTTTTTCCCCCCATTGTTAATGGACTTAGTCTCACTTATGAACAGCTGTTGAAATAATTAAGTGTGCTACTGAAATTGTAGTTGTAGTTGTTCTGTTTCCTTGAAAGTCCCAAGCAGATTTAAAATTAAAAACCAAAACAGAAAGCCACTGGAGGATAAAATAGGCAGCTTACACAATAGAAGTTGCAAATGGGAAAACAAAAATCTTGAGCTTGGCATACACAGCAAATCACTGAATTTTTCAACTGATGTACTTTTGGAAGGGGTGGTCCAGGCTTTCCCCATCAGCTGATTTGATGGTTGCTTCAGGGTCTTTCAGCCGGGAACAGTGGGAGAGGATGAGTGCATGAAGTATGAGCTGCAGGGCACAGCACATGAACTTGTATTGCCTTTTTAAAGACAGAAGGCATCTCTTAGATGATTTTCTTAGTTCAGATAATCAGATGGTGGTTGGTGTTGCAGTACTGGTTCTGATGCATTTGGAAAAACTGTCCTACAATTAACTTTTGAAGCTGTTGTGTTGGGATTTGGATGAGATGTTTTACTACCTAAAATATATCCTTTTCTAAGTGACACTGCCTCATGAATGGAAGTAGCATATTTTGCATTGGCTGCCTACAGCCATGTTCCCTGCTGAGCCAAAGGCAGAGTTGCTTATAAGTGCGTCTTTAATTTTCTGATGTTTGTAGCTTAGTGTTGCAAGTCTGCACAGGCTGATGGTTTGTCTTAACTATCATTCTGGAAGTGTTAGTCTCAATATCTTGACTCATCAGTCAGCTTTGAGATTTACAGTGCAGGAAAAACACCCAGTATTTTATTTAGCTTACTCTGCAGTTTAGATGAATAGCTCCAGCAGTCCCATCCCCTGGAAGTTAGAGAGGGGCTGTTGTACTGTGAGGGAGCCGTCCCAATTCAAGCTTTTTAGCTTGGACAGATTTTACACACTCATTTTAGGGTTACTGTTCCAGTAGCTGAGTTTGGTGAAGGACCTTTGTTTCTCTTCACTCCCAGTTCATAACGCTGGCGAGACTTGGCAGGGTCTGGTGAGGCCCCTGAGCTCTCCCCCGTGCCCGAGCGCGTTCGTGCTGCAGTCGCAGCCTCCTGCGCGGAGGCTCTCCAGAACGGGCGTGCAGGGACAATCTGTGCAGTACCACTAGTACCGCCTGTGCTGGCATCCAGCGAGGAAGCAGCAAGGAAGCAGCTGGTGTTAAATACCAGGGGCTGAAGAGCAGAAAGGAAGGAGGAGATGCGAGGCTGAGACACAGAGGGCAAACTCTCGGATGAGAGGAACAGAGACTGTGAAAGCCAGACAGTGTTTTAGCGAAAAAGGGCCTATGCGGGGAGCGGGAGAAGGAGAGGTGAGAGGAGTTGATTTATAAGCAGCAATGAATAACAGTCCTATCCTCAGAACCTCCTTAGGATAGGAAAAATGTAAATAATTGCTTGTTTGGGTTAAAAAAGTTCTGGATGGCTTGGACCATTCTTCTAGAAAAGCACTGCAGTTTGATACTGCTAAGATTTTGTGGCAGGTGTTCTCAGTGGAAGGTTCTTTTTTTCAGGAGTATCGTTCTCCAACTTGTTGGCTATTTGGCTGTTGAATTACTTAACTCTAAACAAGAGTATTTTATCTGTATATTTTGTTTCTGTTTTACTAGCTGCTGCTTCTTTGAAGACAGATTACCTGTGTCCTTCAAATGCCTGTGATATTTTCAAGAGGAACCATTTTTCTGTAAGTGGAGGTGTTTTCTATGAACATAAAATTAAAAACATGAATTAGTGGAATGTATTAATAGCAATGTGGTTGTGAAGAGAAATCTGAAATGTTTAAAAACGTGTTGCTTTTTGTACATAGTATGGTTTTCATGATTTAAAATTGAGAATAATGATCGATGCTCAGGGGACGCTACTTTCTTTTTCATCTGAAATGTTTAAAAACGTGTTGCTTTTTGTACATAGTATGGTTTTCATGATTTATAATTGAGAATAATGATCGATGCTACTTTTGTTTGGTCATTTGAAATGAATGGTATACTTCTCTTATAAGCTCAGACAGTGATGATAAAAGCAGTACTTGTCTCTGTCAACATTTGTGCAAAATAAGTCTCTGGAGATTTCTGAATGTTTTATTTAATGATGAGAATAGTAAATCTGTCCTGTGTAGTGTCTGGATGAGCTGTCTTGTATCGAAACATTATTAATTGATTTTTGTACTTTACAGCTGTGTTTTGGGAATAAGTACTGGAAGGAAAGCCAAAAGCTCCACTCTGGATTTTAAGAACCATACTGGAAAAGAGTTAAGGGATTGATTTAGTTCTCTAGCTTAGAAATTTTGAGGAAGAGGAAAAAGGAGGAACTTAGCTGCCTATTAACTTTGTTTGCCAGCAGTCTCAAACTAGTTACATCATCACAGGGGTATGGTTATCCATTTCTGTGCAAGTATCTTGGTTTATGAAGATAGGCATCCAGAGAGGCCTTTATTTTCACTTAAATCGGTTATTAATATTAAATTGTGGAAGTAGGGATTTGCTGAGGTTGCTGAACTGTAGATTTGTTTCTTCAAATATAAACACTGTCAAGGCCAGTTGTCAGCTTTTCTAGAAATACAGAGTTTTACGTTCTGGAGACATTCTATGCATTAACCAATTTCTTAAACTTTATGTTTTGTCTTTATTGTGAAACTCATAATGTAAGGTCAGGTGGTGCAGTATGGATAAAGGACTGTCTATGTTTGTAACAAGGTTTGCTTCAGCTTGAGTAAGAGATATTCTGAGAGTTTTCTCCCCAGTTCAGAAATGCATTTTCAGGGAAATAGACAGCTTCACAAATATGCAACAGGAATTTGTGGGGTAAGTTAGCCCTTATATGTATTTTGCCCTCACAAGGGGACATTCCTTTGAAGGTTCTAAAGCAGGTTAATTTCAGTTTAGTTGAGCTGTGAGTTTTCTATATGCTTGTATTATGTTTGCTTCTTCTCCTCTTACTTGGAAGGCATACATGCATTCTTAACATCTTTAGGATATAGTAAAGTTTGTTCTGCTGGTTTGGAAGCTGAGTGTGCCTGTAATGTGAGGAGATGACTGTAGGCCAGAAATAGAGAAGATGGGAATGGAGATGGGAGGGTTCGGTCTCCCTGTTCCTGGCAATGGCCAGCTGCCAACTGGGCTGAAGCTGTAATGTTAAACTGCAGCTCTGGGCTCAGAGTGGGCCCCTGCACACGTTCTGTGGCCTCAGAGATGTCAGTGTCTGTTTTGTCCCTCACACAGATTGGATAGATCAATAGGGAGGCCTTTGGACACCTTGAGAGCAGAGACACATACACAATGCTGTTTTGCAGGGCAGAAACTTATGGAAGTGTAGGAGAAGTCAGCTGTTTATTCTGCTGTAAAATAATGCTCAGAAATCCTGTGGTGCAGCACATGTTAGGGGTCTATTCAGATGAAGTATTGAATTCCCTGGACTTGAGGGAGTCCAGGGAAAAGTGGAAGCTGTGTCTAGCTGTACCATAACTATTTCCTTTTGCATGCATGTGTTGTGATGTACGTATCTCCTGTTTCCCCAATTGCTGTATGCTCAGGAGGAGTCTTCCTGCTAGGACCCTTCTGTGGTCTCCAGAAAATAATAGTATTTATCCGAAAAAAGAGCAGTTCCTTTGTGAGGGGATGGGCCTGCTGAGGACATGCAGCATGCACTGGAGAAGGGTTTTTCCCTTTTTACCTTTTCAGGTTATAGCTTTCTTCTTTCTGAAAGCCAGAAAAGCCACGCTGAGGCAAGGGGAGAGGGAGACAAGAAGGGCTGAATTTCAAAGGAGGGAATTGGGTTAGACACAAGCCAGGGCTGCTTCAGCTGGCTTTACAGGGATTGGGGTGGGGGAGAAAAATGGGGTGCAGAAGGCTGTTGGCCTGTTAAATTGGGAAGGGTTATGGGGCTGGGGAGTCACAAGTCAGTACCAGCCCTACATCTCCTGTGCTGTGACAGGGAAGACATGTCTGAGTGTGAAGGCCTTGGGAACTGCGGTGGCAATGGATTGATTCTTGCTCGGATTGAACCATCTGTGCTTGTGTATTGTTTTTGTTCTTACCTTTCAGTAATGACTTCTACCCAGATGTGGTTCTCTACATGTGCTAATCTTTGGAAGGAATTGTGTGAACGAGTTTTCCTTTTAATGAATAGTGGATGTTCTTTCTACTAAGTTTCGTGTGGAAAAAGAGAGAAGAAATGTTTGTCTTGTACTAAAAACAGGACCTTGTCTCCTAATAGGAAGGATTTCCATCTACTATAATGTAACTGTATAAAAAAAGAAACTGAAGAGTCTGTGGAGCACCTATAGTTAAAAACTGCAACTAGGGGACCTCTCTAAAAATCAGAATCATTTGCAGACTACTCAAAACAGGAAAAAGAAAGGATTATCTGTACTAACAATCCTTTGAGATGGAACTGTCCTGTGGTTATGAAAGCAGGTGTAAGAAATTCATACTCATATCTGTGGTACCATAGGCCAGTTCTATTTAATTCAAATTTTAAAATTCTCATCAGGCTTTTATTGGTGTATAGAATGATTGACAAATATAGATTGCATAAACCTTCAATGGTGAAACCTACAAAAAAATAGAAGTTCCCAACACAAATCCATTGATCTTTTGTCCCATCTGAATAAAAACAACCCACCCGTGCCACAACAGACACAAATGTTGAAGCCTTAATTATTGGCTTAATTGCTCATATTTTTATAAAGAGACTTCACCGTATTTCAAGTGATCTGGTTTTCAGATGTACAGCTGTAGGGCATAATTTATGTGAAGGATTTTGAACTAGGAGATGATTTTACAAAAGAATTTTTTCAAGTGCATTCAACAAAAACTGAGAGCTTTTTTCTTCCACCTTCTTTATGTAAACATCTGTACTTACTTGTACCAAAGCTATTTTGTTTTCCCATTTCTAATTCTTACCATCAGTTTAATCTAATCATCCAGTTAAAGTCCGTTTTTTAAAAAAAAGGTGTAGGAATTTGCAGATTTTTTGGTAACAAATAATGTATAAATATTCATCTAAAACAACAGCCAATAAAAATTGCTACTGTAAGGTTTATTTTGATAAGATTTATTTTTTCCCAGTCAGCCTCCTGTAAAGTTTTGAAACTTTTCAGTTTTGGAGTGGATCTACTTTGCCTGTCATTGAACTTTCAGTACTTAGAGCTGTGTTTAATACTTGCAGACATTGAATATGGGAGGTTTATATCAAGCACTCAAAGCAGGGGTCAGTAAGAACATTTGCACCTGATGTGCCTCCTTGATCCTTAGCAGCAGCATTTAAAAATGTTACAGAAAATGAAAGCAACTTCATCATTGTATTATAGCAGTCAGATTTGCAGTGATTCTAAGTAGGTATAACCAAATATTCCTGTTCTATGGATATTTTCATATATTATCACTGTAAATTAATGTCTTCTCTTATTTATTAAGGACTACTGGCTGTCAGTGTCTTTCAGGTGCCTGTCAGCATATCACCATAGCTCTTTTCATGTCTACACATTAAAAATTACCATATCCATAAGGAAAATATTTTAATTGGAGAACTTATTTTAAATATTTTATGAGTAAAAATGTAGCCATAAAAGGCTTTGTCCTTTTAAATTGCAAATGCAGTAAGATGTAGGCTAAAACAGAGATGTGGTCTTAATTCACCTGAAAAATATTTATATTTAACTGTGGTATAAAATATATCTAAAATTTACCCTTTGAGACACAATAAGAGTTTCAAATGCAAGCTGACACAACTTGTGTCAGCATAACAGTGTGTTTTAACTGAGAGTGCATTTGGTCTGTGCAAGAGGAGAACCTCTGAAAGCCTTAAACAACAGAAGGGACAGGACATGATCCCATTAACATAAGTGATCTGTATACTAAATGGAAGATACCAAATGCAAGATATATAAATGAGGGTAATGTTGCTTTTTATTGGTTTGTAATTGCTGCATGCATTTGTGTTTTAATTTAAGGCTCTTAAGCATTGCCTGAAAGAACATGCTGCATACTTTTTTTTTTTCAAGATATTTATTTTCCTTGATTACATCTATAGTACTTCCTTGTGTCCTAGGTAACTTAAGAACTGTGGTAGGCAGTGCCAGTTTGAAAACTTTTTATGGGGAGAGAGTGTAGTCTGCTGTCAGAAAGGTGCTTGGATTCTAAGGGGAGTCTGTGATGGCTGCAGGGCTTTTAAATTTCTTACAACTGCACTGAACTCTTGAAATCTCCAATCACAGCTTTTACTTCTTCACAATAGTTCTCTTTTTATGAATTTCAGTAAAATTTTCTGGTTAGGATGCATTAAGTTTGTTTACTTTGTTTTAAAGCTCACTTGGAGTTATTTTCTTAAGTTCGGAAAGGTAGCCTTATTAGGCCTGTTTTTCTAATATTATCCAGTCATTCAATACTTTAATGCAGATGTATTTAGATTAATACAGAAATCTGTAGGCAGCTAGTTGGTTTGAAGCAAGTATCTTCTTCAGCTTGCATAGATGCAGAGCTGTGTCCCAGCTGACACATGGATGTGTGAAATGTCAAATCATAAATCCAGTGTATTTTAGAATGTCTAGTGTCTTTTTTCCTACAACTTAGAAAATGAGATCAGTCCTGAAGTAAAAATATTCTTGGTAAATAACAAGATAAATTGAGACGTGTCTTAACCTTACATCAGACTATTCATGTGTGGGAATGGCAGTGGTTTAACTAA